TCGTAATTAAATGTAAGACAATGAAACTTCCGAATGAAAAAATCGATATTTTTCCCCCGTCAAATGAATTTTTTTTCAGCATTAAAAGAATAAAACGAACGTAAAGTATACTTTATATTCAGATTTATAGAGAAATCCTTTAAGGAATTTAAAAAAAAAATGATGCTGTAGTTTTATTTTTACTACGAGACGTACAGTACTGTACGTCAGCATGAAAGAAAGGCTGCAGCAATTAATTGATATCGAACGTCTTTACCTAGAGAAATTGAAGACGAAAGGAACTCTAATGATTTCAATTCAGGAGAAAATCAATATAATAAAAAAAAATAAATAAAGATATAAATAAAAAAGTCTTCGATATAGATTAATAAAGCTAGAAACGATTGAAAAAAATTACAATTTATCTTCTCGTAAATTTCGCGTACAACTTATCGCCATCAATTCCAATACAGAAATAAGGCGGGTAATTTACGTAATAAAATACATTTTTTTAAAAAAATTCGAATTTAGCGATTAAATCCTTTAAAGAGTAAGCAACGTGTACGCGAGTACAACACTACCGAATTCTCTCATTTTAATACGATTTTTCAACGTACAACTACACGATTGCGACTACACCGAAGTCACATTGCGATGACTTCGGTGATCGAATTTTTACCGATTTATAAAAATACTTAAACATCGCTATTTAAAATTAACGTAAAAGTTAATAACTTACGTTAAATATTATTAATACAAATTTAAAATTTTCGAGGAAGATTTTTACTACCATTTAAAAAATTAAATAAAAATTAAANGAAAATCAATATAATAAAAAAAAATAAATAAAGATATAAATAAAAAAGTCTTCGATATAGATTAATAAAGCTAGAAACGATTGAAAAAAATTACAATTTTCCATATCCATAACGATTCTATGATGTTAAGTACCATTAACGCTCATGGTTAAAATCACTGAACCACTAAAGATTTCTGGATCCTCTATTGTCTATATCCATAACGATTCTATGACATTACACTATTTTTTTACTTTTCCGGCTCTGTAATATATAAAACATGAAAAAAATAAATAATCCCCCAAGAATTTTTACATTTTTTTTTTAACTAAGGGTACCTTCAACCGCCTAAAATTCCTAAAAAAAATTCGTGGATTTTCTCTGTATGTTAGTGTATGTGCGCTGGCACGATTTTGATCACTCTCTTTGAAGCTTAATAACTCCCGTGTTTATTGTCGAAAATTTCTGAAATTTTACGGTAAGGTGCGTATATTAGGGGAATTAATGCCATTAAATTTTGGTGATTAAAGGTCGACGGGGTGGGGAGATAAAGGGAGTCACGTGGCGTATCTCGAACGAAGTTTTTACTCGTTATTAGCATTTACAATTTTTTATAAAACCCATCCCTACCCATTTTAAAATAAAATACTATGTAACAGATGGCGCCACACGCAATTTTAAATGTCGCCGGGAAAGTTAAGCAACTCGTTGCTGGATTTAATGAAGGTAACCAAAGAACTTCCTCTCATAAATATTGACAAGGTTTTAGAATACACATCACTGAACAAACTCCATTTTCTTTTATTTAAATAGTTTCTCAATTAATTAATGATGGAATTATATATTTTTCAATGGATCCGAAATGAAAAATTTGAGGGTTTTTGAGGATTTTCTTATGAACACAATGGATAAAAATAACATTAAATGGTTACAGAAAGAGTATTAAAAATCCTTAATTATACTGCTTAATTTAATATTTATTATGTTATAATATTAAATTACACTTTATTAATTATTTAATATAATTTTTTTTAAGTTTTATTATGTTTCATATGANATTTAATTTGCTGTAGGGCCCCTAACATTTGTTTTGTCTTAGTCCACGTTATCCTCTGAATGGCCCTGAACGTACGAAGAAAGTTTACATAATTATTAATAAATAAAAATTAAACTAAATCGATTGTATTGAACATTTATTCAATAGAGTCGTATGTTGGATCGATTAGTCCGAGCCACTCTAACATGAAATCGTACCTCAAACCAATTAGATCGAAGCTTATCATTGAATACAACTTCAACTTTCTTCGATTGTATTGAGTCTAGGCCACTAGACAATGCAACGTAACGAATAAAAACTTCATCAATTGTTGTAAAGTTATAAATCAACTATTCGTGAAATCAGAAGAGCATTTTGCTTATTCTTTTCTCTTTATTTTATAACTTTTAGATTAAAAATAAAAATAATAATAATAAACTAAACTATGATTTCATAACGGCAGTTTAAAGATAATAAGTTGAGTGATAGAATCATTCATTGATTCAATAATAAATTGAGTAGCCGCATATAGAAGATTCATTCTGTATGCACTTCATTAAGCACTCACCAGTGGGCACTTAATGAATTACATGATCGTGGATGGTCGTGGGTTCGTGCCTCAAGCTGACCACGTGGAGTTTTCCATATTTCCTTTACATATCTATCATTTGAATGGTGGCCAGTTTCTCAAAGGTCCTCCTGGAAGGCGTCTCTTCGTGGTAGATAGCCCAAATATTGCGTTACCTTATCGCACTATTAGCATAGTTTTTTAATTGAGACTATTTTGCGTAAAATTTTTAAATAATTGACATATTTTATTATAATAGCTTCTATATATATATTAATATAAGAAAAAGATGGAAGATCCAACAGAAGACGGAGAGAATGCGGTTTGGTTACACGTGGACGATCTCTCTAGGGAGGATGCCTCCCGGGAGGACTGTCTATGGGAAAGTGGTGCCTATTTAGGTATTATAAACGTGAAGAAAATCCGGAATGCTTCACGTGATCCGCCCGTTGGCGAGGCACGAACCCACGACCAATTACTTCAGTGGTTTTATCCACTGGTCACTGGTGGGCACTGATGTGAAGCAGAGAACATGAAAGGATTGAGAATCAGCAACGGCCGGATGCCGTGGTAATTACGGCTTTAGCCTGCCGCTCTGGTAGACCCAAGATCGAATCCTCCAGGAATTTTTCTTAGGCGATCGTTTCCGGCTATGACAGGCTAGTCTTTCATCATCCACCAGCCCCCATTTTAGGCACTGCCTAAGCCATGCTGGATATAGAAATAAGGTCTTCTTAGTATACACAGGGCGGAAATTAGTTTTAAAAAAATAAATAAATAAACACCTCATTTGGTAATGAACAGAGCAAAGTAGAGAAAATGTAGGCCTATTCACTGTATCGTTCTGGTGGAAAAGAAGAATATATTCTCCTCTTTTTTAGTCATAAAGATTTATAAGTAGCAAACCCCTAGACAATATAAGGAAGGATTAAGATAAGTAAGTGCAAATGCAAAATATGGGATCGGAATTTTACAATCTAATACAAAGAAACCTTATAAATAAATATACCAGATAATATTGGTACTTTATGAAGAAAAGAATACTAATATACCATAATTCATTCTATAATATATATATTATCAATAATAAAAGAGAAAGAAAATTGCCTTTTTCAGTAAAGCAAATTACATTTTAATAACAATGGAGTTTGGTTGCGGTTAATCCCTACCATCGGGATATCAGCAAAAGTGAACATTCGTTGACCACTGATAGTTTAATCGCATTGCAAATATAGTAAAACCACCTGTAAAATATTTATTCTTCAATGTAAACTTTATAAATTCTATTAATTACTATTTTAAGAAGTAAAAAGACACGTGGAACCATTACAGATCTATTTTCTTAAGTTTAATGATATAAAACAGAGACTGCCAGGAATCGAGAGCGATTCAGTCCATTTAGGCTAGTTTATTGAGGCTTCTAGTATATTAAAAGCATACAAAATAGCTTTAAAAATTGTACATTAAACATTTTAAATAATAAAATTTAAGAAAAGATAACGGATTTTTTTATTAATATACAAGAAATGCAATGGAATGTTCTTGAGGCTACGTGTGAAGATCAGGAGATTGCCCTTCCGTAACAAGGGATGACACATGACTAGATTTACCATTAAACAAAATAAGCACGTGTTCAGGGCATTAAAGAAAAGGAGCATCAAAGAAATTTTTCATTGCCTGATTTACCACGAACCATATGATTCAATATTGCAAATGGTACTGAATCCACAGAAAAGATCCCCCACAATAAGTGAAAAATTAAAGCATTTGCTGGCATTATTTTGAAAAAATAAAATTTAATTTTATGTTTATATTTCGAAATACATATAAGCTACAGTATATGGGGGCACCAAAATCTTTTAAGTGTTTTAAGGCCTCATCGGGCCCTATCCTTTCATTAAGCTTAAATGAGAGCAAATACATCTATGGAATCTGAAAATTTGGTTTAATTATTATATATTTATAAAAAGTTAAGTTTAAACGGTTATAAAACACATGCCATTTTTCCCATTATCCTCAAATGGAAGGAAGAAGATTTTAATCTTAAAAGAAAAATATATTTTAGATCAAAACCGATTTAAGGCTATATTTATACGATTATTTATATATAAATCAAAATTTTATTTATATAAATCGTATCGATAAAGAACAAACAAGCAAAAAAGAAAAACAAAAAAAAAATTACAATTTATCTTCTCGTAAATTTCGCGTACAACTTATCGCCATCAATTCCAATACAGAAATAAGGCGGGTAATTTACGTAATAAAATACATTTTTTTAAAAAAATTCGAATTTAGCGATTAAATCCTTTAAAGAGTAAGCAACGTGTACGCGAGTACAACACTACCGAATTCTCTCATTTTAATACGATTTTTCAACGTACAACTACACGATTGCGACTACACCGAAGTCACATTGCGATGACTTCGGTGATCGAATTTTTACCGATTTATAAAAATACTTAAACATCGCTATTTAAAATTAACGTAAAACTTAATAACTTACGTTAAATATTATTAATACAAATTTAAAATTTTCGAGGAAGATTTTTACTACCATTTAAAAAATTAAATAAAAATTAAAAAAAAAAAAAAAAAAATTTTTACCATCCGACGTTTACACCGCTATGTGGCAGCACCTATACCGTTGCTAGGCGATGACAAGTTTTCTGATTCTCGTCGGTTGCCTTTTTGGTGGCGGAGGAAGAGTTTGTTGTCCGCATTTAGACGGAATAAGAAGGAATTTTCTTTGGTATTAAGTTTATAATTAAACCGTAAGGCATAACGATAACGTTGTAGCAACACAAAACTACCTTTGGATTAATATAAATATCAGGTTTGTATCCATTGATGTCGTTTGGGTGTAGGCTTAGTAGATACGCTCTCAAGCTTATTTTCATTCAAAAGATAAGATATACTTTCAGGCGTGCCTCGTCCAACATTTTCGTGTAATTCGCTCCCAGTTTGTAATTTTTACATCAATTTCAACACTGGATGACGTATTTATGACGTAAGGCATGAAATTGACATTTAAATCATTGCAGATTTCTCCATATTTTTATTATTATTCAAGTTTTTTTTTTCATTAGTGTCCATTATAGATACATCAGAATCATATACAAGGCTCATTAATGGGAAGAAAATTGATGATTTGAAATTTAAACCAGTTTCTTTTATATATATATATATAATCAAATTAAATAGGAAATTGAAGTAGAAAAATATTGCATAAAAACACATCTTTTGGCACCATTCGGGCAACGTCGAAGTTTGGAATCTTCGATAGACCCGAGGCAGGTATATCGAAAGAGCTGGAAATGTGCTCGAAAGTGTGTCGTTACGCAATGTTTTCTTACTCCGATTTCCTATTTAATTTGATTATATATTTATTTAGTAAGCGGCTGATAGATTTTCTGTAGGAAAAGAATATTTCCGGCTTCTTCGATGAGCCTGGCTTGAGTCCGTCTGAGATTCCAAAGTTAGACGTCGTCAAAAAGAAAAGATGTGTTTTTACGCGATTTAAACTTTCTTCCGGCTTCGAGTGTATTAAACGTACAAAAATGCAATGATTTAATGATTAAAAGTCGGTTTAAGATATAAGTTGTAAATATATATTAATTTATTTATGTGCATAAAATATATACAGTTATTATATTTAATATTAAATAAATTGTATTCGTAGATGGATGCAAATTGCATTTTAGTAATAAGAAAAGAACTGTTTTGAAGAAAACATCTGGATACAAATATTTGATTATTTATATATAAATGTAAACATCAGTTGTATTTTGCATTTCCATTATTTTTCTCATATTAATGATAGCATCTGAGATTATTAATATAAAAAAATAAAATGTTTGAGATACTGCAAATTTTTATTTGGTAGATAATTTTCAGCTGCCATAAACAGACGTGAGTCATCATTCATTTAGAACTAACATGAGTAATATGATTCTCACTATTATAAATAGTAGACTGAAGCAAATTGACAATAATATTAAATAACTGAATTTAATTTTTAGTAAGTTTAAATAATTAATGTTAATGTTTTTAAGTTTTCAGTAGAACCACCTCATTTTTTTTTATTACAGAACAAGTTATTTCCTTAATCTTATACAGTGTATATACTAAGAATGTAGCTGGGATGACCTAATTTATATTTTTAAAATGAAAATTACCTGTATAATACAATAATTAATTGATGATAATTAAAAGAAACATTTGAAAAGATTATTTTAAATTAAAAAAATTTTAACTACTTGAACATTTAATTTAATGAAGATTATAATACAAAGTTTTAAATATAACAAATGTTAAATTTATTACAATAATAGTTTTACTGTAAAGGTTTTTATAAATTAGATAGTAACAAGATTTTATTTATTTATAGACATCTTATACAATCTTGAATATTTTCTTCCAATTGCATTTTAATATTTGCATTTACTTGTCTAAAAATAATATAGAACTAGATTATTTTATATTTGTAATATGTACGTAGAAATGCTTATAAAATTCAAGAAATAACGGAACAATACGTCACTTCTCATTACTGTAATTATATATTACTTTAATAAAAGTTTAATTGCTTACTTAATACAAAAAAAGAAAAATATTTATTACAAAATTAAATTCTGACTTATTTCATTTCGTGTAAATTAAAAATTATCAAATCAGTAAAAATAATACAATGTAATAAGCATCAAATTATTAACTTACGAAATATCATTGACAATAATTAATTAGCCTTAAATATAAAGAAAATTATTTGTTGATAGAAGAAAAACATGCTGATGAAATATTATTTTTTATATTTAATTGTTACATTGTTTGTTGGAATATTGTAATATAATTTATTAATTATTATTTAATTCAAAATTTGCATAAAATTCAGTTTTTGTGTGTAAATAATTTAGATGGATAAAATATTCGAAGAGTTATATAACTGAAATGATGGCTCATAATAAAATAAATAACTTTAAACAATTTTAATAATCATCCATATTTATAAGTCTGTATTTATACTGTTGTTAAATTTAGTCCTGCTTTTATTTATTTATTTTTTTGTTGTTTTGAAGTTTATCACGTTGTAAGGTGATAAAATGAGACAAATTTTATTGACAGTTATATTTATTTCTTCAAGCATAACTTCCTTAATGAGTTCTTGTTATGAAGAAAGTTTTTTGCTGCTGTATAAGTATAGATATGTATAAATATCCAACAGATACATTTTTGATTTTAACTTTATTTCGTGCTAAGTTTTTAAGCAAAATCATACATTTAATTGAAAATGAAATCGTGACATCAATGTTTTATCTTTCTTTATATATCACCAAATGCATATTAATTCACAAAATTATTGCCGATTATCGTTAACAAGTTTTTTTTACTGTAATATCCAAGATTTATGTTAGTAATATAGTCACAAACTATATAGTAATTCTTCTGTAATCTGAAATATGTTTGTTTATTTTTTCTTTATGATTTTTGTTAGGATTATCACTAGTATAAATAAGTCTGTTAGAAAAATTAAAATAACATATTCATACTCTAAAAATATTAAGTAATTTTGAAATTCATAATTATTACAAACTATTCAAAGCATATTTTTTTAAAATGAAAGAGTAATTATTAATTATATATGTTGTATAATGTTTGAGTTTTGGTAATTATAAATTCATCCTGATTCGGTTTTATGTAACAATCAGTAAAAGTATTATGTTTGTTTTTATATTATTGTCAATGTTTTTATAAATTCCGGTTTATATTTTCTTACATTGTTAATCAAGTCTATCTCTCTTATGAATGTAAATATTGTTGAAATGCATGAAGTATTATATAGAGTAAATATTTAAAATTTTTTGTGAAATATGATTATGATCAGTTATTATTTTTAATAATGATTGATAATAATCAATGATAAATATATACAAAAAGCAATGTTAATGTATGAATAATTCAAGTATTTTTTTCTTATGAAAGCAAGGATCTTCTGTAGAATGTTAGCTTTATCTTCGTTACATTACCTATCTTTTATATGTTCTGATCTGATTATATTTAAGTGTTTATACATTTTGAGTGTTCTCATCTATAAATCTTGATTTATTTAAATAATCATATAATTAAAATTCTATTTAAAATTAAATATTCCAGTAGTACAGTTTGTCTGATGAATATTCATTTATAAAGATTCGTGTTAAAATTGTATTTTATTATATTTAATTAAGAAATTTTATTTAATTGCAAAATTTGAAGTATTTATTGAATATATATTTAAGTATTTGCAAAATTTGAAATATTTTTTTAGAGTAATTAAAAATGAAACTTAAGTAACTAAATTTTTAAAGTGAAATAATAAAATATCATTGTATTTACTTCAATATATAATATAATTCTGTTAGATAAAGTAAGTGACAAAAATCAGCTTGAGTTATAATTGAAACATGACAATGAATACATATCATGCCTTGAGGCTTCATGAACAAATTTCTTTCAATACAATAAATGTGTGTGTGTGTACATATATATAATGGAAAGAGAAAAAGCTGTTTAGAGAAACTATTTGTAGTTTAATACTGAAAGATATATATATTTAACTGGCAGCAGGCATGCCTATTAATGTTGCCTAACTAGATGTACTGTATTATGCAGTCTTGTTACTTTTTTATTGTTTTGGTAGAAGCTTGCTATAGGTATTTAGAAAAACAAGTTTATCAGTATTTATCTTCATTAAAATACCAAAATATTATATTTACACTTTATCCCAGCATAGAAATTTCTTATAAGCCATGATTGGGATAAAAGTACACACTAGTTATTGTTGTACTAGATCTTGTGATTGATTATCATCGTTGTTTGTATTTTATGATTTATTTATTATTATTTTTTTGTATTTTATTTTATGTTATTTTAGTTATTTGTCGTCATTTCATATTTAGAACACTGTTAAGAACATTAAAATTAAAATTTAAAAAGAATTCTAGTACATATTTGATCCTGATGATGGCTACTTAGTCAAAAACATTTGATAAATAAAAACTTGTTGTTGGAACAGGCTAGAACTAAATTTTATACTTTATTTAATTTAATTTCTAAAATGAACAAGAATAAAAACTAAATTAAAGAAAGAAAACTATAGATAAAGTTATAAAAACAAATAGAAATTTTTAAAATTTGTTATCTGATACTTCAGAGCTACAGTCATGATATTTATCACATACAGTTATCAACTACAAGTGTATTTACTATATCCTGGTCTCATTACTTGACTATAGCTCTTCAACAGTCATCTGAATTGGTTTTCTGATTCACATGAATTCAGTTGTAGAGAATTTTGCTGAGCTTTTCTTCTTCAAAGTCTTTTTTTGGTCCCTAAAATTTAAATTATGATTATTTCTTGTATTACACTATATGGTACTAAGTTACAAAAACTATCAGAACACTACACTAAATGCATTTTAAATAACCAATGCTTGAATAACTTCAGTTTTGAAAATTAAGCTTAAAGTAAGCAAAACGTTAAAAAAAATATATAATTCCATGACCCAGACTTATGGTATGCTTTATACACCTAAACTGTAGATTAATGAAGAAAATGCTAATTACAGAATACAGATTACAGCATTATTGTAAAAATGTCATTCTGTCCTAGAAGGTTCAATAGAAGAATACACAAGTATGATCTTTTCAAAAATTTGTGGGAAATATTTGTGATATAAATTCCAAAAGTGTCCTATGGACCTGTGCACTAGTGTTTTCTCTGAGATTAAAAACTAATTTTAGTTTTAGACAGTTCATTGATATTAAACAAAGATAAAAATTTTCTTACAGCGTGTT